CATTCACTCTCTACTCTGTGTTTGAGAACGTCAGAAGCAGTGGAGTCAACATTACTGCAGTCACTGGTGAGTTAATATATTTCAGAAATATGCACTAAAATGTGCACAGTAAAAAGAACGCTATCCCCTGTAGTTCACTACAGATTCACCAGACTAGAATACATTTGCAAGTTACATTTTTTTCAAATCCGGTGCTATTTTAATAGCAGTCTAATAAAACTCAGCAGTTGGGTAACTACAAAAACAGTTACACAACTCTACTGCCAACTAGAAAAAGTTGCATTTCCTGCGAAAATTCAGTGTGAATGCCGTGTAGTGGAATCTGCTGAAAACAGCAGAAGTAAAACTATCTGCTGAAAACAGATGAAGAAACAGAATTTTTTGCTGAAAAGAGGTGAAAAGCCAAAAAGTCTTCTGAAAAGTGGTGAAGAAGCTAAAAATTTTGAACTGTTAACTGAAAAAAAAGTTGCCATAAGCAGGATTCAAAACCCAGGCCTCTCATTCTGAAAACTGCTGCTTATCTCACTGAGCTGAAACATGGCTCAGCCAGTAAGTAAAACCGGTGATCACACTGATAATGGGGTCCCATTCAGCAAAATGGGCCAAAAATGGCATACAAAGCTTAATATCTCAAAAATTATAAAAGTTATGAGCACCAAAAGATATAGGTGGCATTAACAGAAGGAGCTGAACAGTTGAAAATTTGAATGGTGAAAATCGGATGAAAACTGAGGGAGTAGTTAACCAGCAAAGGTGGGAGCAACTAGAATAAGGTAGAAGAATAAAGTTTAAAGAGATAACCCAAAATCTAAGAGAGTAGATTTTTAAAAAGAAGTTAAAGTTAAAACTCTGAAGTTCAGTAAATGCTGATTAAATTTCAGATCCATTATATTAAGCAACTTTCAAATCCAATCTTGCCCAACTTTTCAAATATCAGTTGTTGGGGTTTGGGTTTTTTTTGTTGTTGTTAACTTTAAAAAATTCAATATCTAATTTTGGCTAAAATCCATTATTCATATATTATTTTAGACTGTAACAAAGTCAGTCAAACCCATGTAAGCTAAGATAAACATTTATATAATCAAAAAATGGCATGGTATGGTATATGCTAACGGAAAAATTAACAAGATTTCACAAGTTATCAGGGTTGAATAGATATATTTCTTTTATTCATAGTTTATGAATTACCTGTGACATAAATACTCAAGGTCACAAAAAATGTATTTAACAACATTTTACATGGTTTTAACATGTGTTTGTTTCTTTTATACTTATATATGGTAACCGTGTTGACAGAATAGTACGAGGGTTGGAAATCAATGGTAGCATTAGTATTTTCTGAGAAACAGATGCTAGCTGCATGTTATAATTTACTGTGAAAATTAAGGATAAATGTAGTGCTATAATGAAAGGAAGGGCATTTTGAAATTCATTTGTCTTCTTTGGGTAATCTACGTAACAGGGTTACACTCCTTAGAAGGACACCGTTTAGTCAGATTGGAAAAATTCAAAGTCTTTTAAAGAAGCTTTGGTCTACCCATGTTAGCACACGACTTGATAATGTCACTTCCTGTGTCTCAAAATCAAAATTTTTAAAGTAGATTTATATCTTACGTCAGTTGTTTTATACATTTATAGTTTTTATACTTGACATGCAACAAAATTTCAAATAAAATTTTAGAACCAGTTTTCTAAAACCTGTGTTTACATATGGTCTCAATACAAGTGTAACTTAAACAACAAATTTATATTTTAGTATTTTGTGCATGGATTATTTTTGATTCATGACTGGGAAAGAAAGTGCTCAGCAATTCTAGAATAGCCCATATAATAGCAGTTAAACTTCTTAAATACTGCTCTTAGAAAATACTTCACCTCTGCTGAAAAATTACTGAAAAAAATCTAACAAAAAAAGAAGTGTACACAATTGTAACTTGGTACATGGTACTCATTCTTGATAGAATGCTATGAGAATGAGAATAAATGCTATAATAAAATGTTATAAAATTAGTAAACATCCTTTGAGAAATAACAGATTCTTTTTTAATCCACAGAGACACACCTGGAGTGCTTACTAAAAGATCTTGGTTTAAAGCAGTACTACAAAGATAAACTGTCACTGAGCAAAATACTTGCGATTGATAAGATGACCATCACTGATGAACCTGCCAAGAGTAACTCAGACTTTCCATGGTATTTTCTAAAGAAACTGATGATGGTTAATGTGGCAGCTCGGAATATGACATGTACATCGGATTGTGAGTCTGATGATGAATCAGAGAATGCAGAGGATTCTGACAGTTCAAACACAGATCACAGGCCAAACCCACTTGACATAATCACTGCTCTCTTTCTGTGTTCTGATGATTTTGTACAGCAGGAAATGGCACGAAAAATGTCCACATGTCAGTTCTCTGTTCCTCTGCTGCTTCCAAATTGTGATACAAAACAGTGCACACTCATGCTGTGGGCCATGAGAGACATTGTTAAAAAGTACAGACCTCAGTTTTGTTCTGAATCCAAGAGCTTCATTGAAGAAAGAATCGTTCTCTCTGAACTTCCAATGATCTCTTTTGTCAGACTGGGTGAGTGCTCCTTGTCCAAGTCAGAGATTCTCAATAAGCTTCTGAGCAATTCTCAGCAGTACCATGACACCTTTGTTCACTACAACATGGAGTGTGGTGACAGTCCAAGAGCAATATCCAACGGAATTACTGAAATTACTTGGTATCTTCCTTGTGGAAACACAAACATTGATATTTTCAGTAAACCAGTGGCTGTAGCTAACCTTCGTGGGGACATTGCTTCTTTTAAAACACAATACTCCTTTCTGTGTCAGACATCTGCAGCAGTTTTTGTGTTCTTTGACCAGCTGGACTCTGAGTGCAGTCTACTTACCAACCAACACCACAAGGCACAAATCTTCTTAGTGGGTAATGGTGAGAGCAAATGCTGCACTTCAGATGCTTTAAAGGAAGTAGAAAATAAATTGGGCTTAACTAAGAACAATATCATTATTAGGAAGAAACAGAAAAATAATGCAGACTTCGTGAAAAGCTTCAGAAAAAAAGTCAGAGATGTAGTTGAACACTCAGAAATGAAGATGACAATTGAGCAGATGGCAGACATTGCCCATAAACTGGGAATCCTGGTTGATGAAAACTCTCCAGAGTGCCAGACTGGAAAGAAAAACGCTGAAGCCATCACTGTTGAAATTCAAGACATCCTTAAGTACAAAGAAGATCAGCTTCGATGTCAAGGTGAAATATGGAAAGAACTGGCCAGCTTAGAAAAAGAAGAATTTCGGCTTAGAAAACTTGGCTCTAAAAATATAGAAGATTACAAAAGTGAACTTAAAAAACACAGAGAAGAACTGCGGAAAAAGCAGAATTCTTACGACATGTCAACAGCTATGACATGTTTCATCAATGCAATATCAAGCCCAGGAACAGAGAGGTTTTATTTCCTGAAATGGATGCGAATGAACCTGGACAACTTGTCTCGTGTAAAACTGTCTGAACTTCAGGAGAAATATAAAGAAAAATGCAAGAACTCTGAGAACAAAGAGGAGATCAAGGAAATTGACAGACAAATTTCCAGCAGCTCACTGGGGACTGAACACTTCTTCCGTGAAATGGGTCAGATCTATGAAGCTTCACTGTCCCTTCCACAAACAGATATAGCACGTCAACAGCTGCAGAATCTGCCCAAACTGTGTGCAGAGTTGTTGCTTGATGGATTTCCTCTTGAGCTTGTAGATGGAGATGCATCCAACATCCCTCTCAGATGGGTGAGTGATGTTCTCTCTCAGCTCAGTGACTTGGTGTCTCCAAACAGAAAGATCCTGGTAGTCACAGTTCTTGG